TTCCAGATGCAAGTGTAAAGGAGAAAAGTCGAAAAACCCTTGTAAAAAATCGGATACTCGAATTAGAAAAATTTGTCCTCTGGTACGGCCTTGAAGTACCACAATTGACAAAAATTTTAGAGGTCATCCTGAGTGGAAAACTTGGTGGGTTTTTCTCGGCGAGTTTTACACAACTCGGTGTTCAACTGAAATTTTCGAAGTATGTCAAACAAGCTTATTATATATTTGATCAGATGACGGAGATACCAGAAAATTGGTCAAACTCCTTATCCCACGTACCAAAGTACCCAATATGTTGATAATGAAAATTTTTGGGAGCCTTGGGAATAAAAATACAAAGCTCAAAATTCAGGTGCGCCACTTTTCCTAACGGGATTTAATGTCAAAATTGTGAATTACACCCTTCTAAATAATTCAATGTTATTCAAGGCGCTCTTACTCCGTTGGGTTATACTGATTTATAATGTTTTAGAAGATCATTCCGAGTTATATCAACTTTACGGTGTTTTGTTCCATTACTTGGATTACGACACATTGAGGTAATCAAATTAAAACCTCATATATAATCGTCGCGTCTTGCGAATGTCGTCCATTGAAAAACAATCTTCGATTGTATAGACCAATGCTTTGTCATCTCTTGTGGCTCATGACTCAACGAGAACACGTAAAATCATTTCGCATACGCAAAATGTATTCTTCTTCTTTATGCTGTAATCTTCAATGAAGCTTCCTAAAATGTTTGGTAATTTAAGAATGATTATTGATCATTCCTTTCTGCAGGATGGAACTCCAAACGCGAGTTGGGTCCGAATCTCATATTCAAGGATTATTATCACTTTATAAAGATTTTTCTCCTACCCTGGTGACAGTTCACCACATCTCCACAAAAAATGCCGTATTCAAAGTAGTAAATGTCTTTTAGGTTAATTAGGAAAGCAAAAATCTATTTTTGAACTTGATCTATTTTCTTTTTTTAAAGTGCCCGGATGTAGAATGGCTTCATATGTTAAACGAGGTGTATGTAAGGTGGAACAAAGGTGAATCGGTATTTGCAATA